CCCTTCAACAGCAACCCTACCACCTTAATACCCCAACCATAAACCAAATCTCCTCCACAATAAATTCATCCAACCCCCCTACCCCTACACCCTCTTCAAATTATACTGAATCATTAGCACCATCATCCACATCAACTGAATCTTCACTCAACACTAATAGAGCTTACCGCACTTTTAAAAGAAAGTTCCCCAACCATCCTTTCCCAGCAAAACCAGGAACAGCCCGTGAATACATCAACCACCCCAAGCATACTAACACAAAAGAATTTTTAGCCATCACTTTACCCTCATTCCCACAATACACCTTAAATACCCCCCACGACACTAACGAAACACGCAACTTTGTAGATGAATACGTTTTAATGCCCACCCTCTCTTGGACCTCATATTATCATTTTACTAACCCTCTTTGCTTACCTTTATCTAACACTCACATCGATATAGAGCGAAATACGGACATGCTATATCGACTCACTACACCACTAACCGCTAGACAATTTACTTACGTTGGATATAAAAAATCACTAAAAACACACACTGCACCTAGAGCTAACGAATATACACTCGAATACTATGATCACAACATCATCAGAGCTAACCAAGATCAATTCTTAGACGACGATCGCTTCGCTAATCCACAAATTACCGAGAAATTTTTCATCAAGACACCATATATATTCACACTAAACATCTTCGACCGAAAGTTTGATCACATTATTTCAGAAGCACTAACAGACACACAAGCATACGAAAGTTTCAAAGAACGCTTCCAAATATTTTCACTAACCTTTCATTTCCTTGCACCACACGAAAGAGATTTACACTGCTCACACGATATTATGTTGCGCACTAAACAAACCCACACATATAGTTATTATCGCTTCATCCAAAATCACTTTGACCTACACACACCCTCTAGACAACCACACCATCGTTTTCAATTCATTAATTCCAAATACACTTCACCATTTTTCCTAAATTTCACATATTGTATTAAAGACACTAACCTCCATGGTATTCTTCGTAATTATGACCCCATAACCCAAATGTACATCTTCTGTCCCATCACCAAGACCTTCAACGCCGAAGAATCCCGACCCTTCCTTATCCCGCACGAGTTTGTACAACCTATAGAAATCCCAATTTTAGAATTCATCCACAACACTAAATTCAATCACAAATTATATAATCTAATCCAAAACACACCTTATGAGTTTGCAGTTGGCACTGAAGAACTAACCACTATTAAGGCACTTCAATTGCTTTGGCCACTGCTTCAGACTAAAAATATCATCCGCATCTTAGCTAAACTACTAACAACTTCAGAACTAATTCACGACATCTTCCCCCACGGTTTTTTCCCCGACGACTAACAGGTAAGTATGAATTAAATGAATATAACTAACTAATTGAAATATTAAAAAACTCACCATACTTTATCCATGTTTTCCTTAGATTTTTAGCCTTCATCCGACGATCACCTACAAAAACCACAAAAAACAAATAAAGATCGCAAATTTCATCAAACAGACTTCAACAATTCTATTAATCTCTTACACTTATAAATTTATAAATTTAATACCAATGCAGTAAATTCATTTCTAAAATTTTCCCCACAAGCAGTAAATTTAATTATGATGAAAATTTGTAACTTAAAATTCCCCCATAACTAGCAGTAAATTTCCAAATTCTATGCAGTAAATTAATAAAATGCAATTGCAGTACTAACCTTTTGATATTTTCATTCATTCGCACAGAAATTCTATCCACACTCGCACAGCTCGCCCACGAAGAATTGTTTAAAATAATGAATTTCAGTTTCAAGTTTTCACAGTCAACAACTCTAACATATAATAACATGTTTCAAACTTTCCTTTAACCCGGTTGGAAAGGAATCATATACTAAACGAAACTAACCAACGCAGCTTACTAAATACCACAAATCATAGAATAACAGCATGACTAAGAAAAGGAAACCAACGGTACCCAAACCGGATTAACCCAGTTTAAAACTGGATAATTTATTCTTTTGAAGACTATTATAAAGTCTAAGAAAGAAATAATAAAACACAAAAAAGTCGAAAGACAAACCCATACCACGAACAATTTGATTTTTGGAAAAAGGACATAACCAACAAGACATAAGAAAAACCACAACAAACCCAACATAAAACGTTGTCACATAACAGGACCCCTCACAAAAACCGCATGAAATCATACTCCCACTCCTGGCCTAACCCACCAGGAAGGACGTCCTGAGCATGCTCTATAGCCGGCCTAACCCACCGCGCTACATCCACGCTTTGTGACCACACCACTATTTTTAATAAGAGCTACTCAAGTGTGAGTAACTCTTCAAAATAACCGAACTAAAACAAAAAGCTTTTGTGAAAACAACTAACTAAAATCATAATTAAAAAATATTAAACTAATAAATGTTTTATAAAATGTAAATTACATTATGCAATACATAGATCAGAATACAACACCAAGGACGAACATCTAAAGACAAAACGACCCCACTACACTCGAGAGAGAATGACCAACCACAATCGATATGCCACTCACAATCACAACTCAAAGGATTTAGAGTACGACTTGACTTCGCAGAAAAGGACTTCATTGAACTAGACCAATGACCACCTCGATGTTCAAGTATACGTACAGATCCGAGTAACCAGGCATCCCCTCCACGCACAATCTTCACGCCATTCCCAAACTAGATCAGACACAAAAGAAGTTCTCCACGCAGAACAGAAAAACCTGACATAGCCAACCATTCTGAAATCAGATTTGAGTTTGTTGCGAAGACTTAGTCGTTGTCACTAGAAGACACAACGTCTTATGTCTCTAACTCCAGCTTCCTGGAACTTCTTTAACAAAAAGGAAACAGAAGAAATAAGATGTTCGCCAAACACCAACTTCCATCATCCATCCTTCGAATAGCAGAAGAACTATTCTAAAAAACTCTGTAAAACCCGGATGGGTGGAACCTGATCTAAACTACATTTTATGATTGGATAAATTAGATATTTTACCAATGTAAAGTATTTAATATTAACCAATCATGATCCATCTAACTAACAACCCACTTATTTGTAAGTGCTGAAGTTACTTGTAATTTCAGCACCAGAGAGATTTGAATTTAACTTAGAAATTAGTTGGACTCTCCCGAGCACTTCAGCAACCGCAATAAACCAGTATACCCTAGATCTATTGAGCCTAGCAGAGACTAGTTAAACAACCTGAGACTAGATAGTATAAGAGTAAGATTAGGATCGGTATTAGACTAAGAAGTTGCACGAATCTATCCGGCCGAAAATAAGATAGCGTGACGAGCAGACGGTGTACCCTATCCGAAATTACTCTATGAGTTAACCAACTCGGTTCTAACTCAGAACGTCCCTCGGTAAGTCGGACACAAATTTCTGTTCAAACTTTGTCCACCTGTGGGCTATAAGCAGGGCATGGCAAAAACATATTGGTATTGCAAAATATTGGTACAAAACAGTGCAATGAATTGCAATATTTTCGATTTAAAAAGAGCTGGTCTTGACATGTGCCTTTATGGAAACCAGCTTCATCAGCCCGACATCGAATATCCCGGAACGGTTTTTCAGTACGGCTGGATAAACTTACAAGGATTATAGGAAGAGCCTACTAGTAGTACTACCTACTAACTTGGAACTTCAGTTGTATTACATGTAGCACTACAACACAAAATTTTGGGATATCGATACAATAAAAACACTTGTTCACTAAACTTTTTTGAAAACCATCTGCAGAAATATTGCATGTTGTATTGCAGAAATCATTCAAGGGGCAGTATTTTATTGCACGACGAAAGTTCAACTTTCAACAACGATAAGTTATTGCAATAGAATATAAATATGATTGTGCCGTACCCTGGATATAAGCACACAAAGTGCCACTGGCTTACGCCATTTCTAACTTGTGTGTCAACCTAGCCAATGTTTGACACGACAGGAAACAGTTTTTTTGGAAAGGGATCTTGTTCTTTTTTGAAAATGCAGCAGTTGACTTTTCACACATTAGTAATTGGTTCGATTGCGCATAACACCGAGACGTGCTTGGCTGTTTTGTTAATAATTTTAGAAGACTTATTTTGGTCAAGAAAAGTTTATAAAAGTTAAAAGATTAGCATGTCACTTTTCGACATTCGAAAACTCTCAAAAGTCAGTGGATGAGTATTTTTGAACAAACTGTGGGTTTTCGATCACTTGACTTTAATACTTGTAACAGGCTTCAATAACGGTTAGAATGACGTTGTTGGTTAGCGCGCGCTGATCACTTAGCAACAATTTGTACAAAAATTTACAGCCCATTTCGAAATTTATTGGCCAAGCACTTTTAGACGAAATGCGTTATCTTCTGAGTGGATTGACTTACTTCCCGTTGATTTTAAATGGTTTGAAATGAATTATTTGTAATTTATAGTATGGGGTACTTTAAGCAATAAATTAAAAAAATTAGCTTAAATTCAATTTTAATTATGAATATAAAGGTACACTGGTGATATATAGTGATATTTAGGTCAGAAAGTTCATTAGAAAAGGAAAATGGTAAAAATTAGAATTTTAAAAAGAACCATCAAATTTGGAATCTACTAATATGGCAGTTTTTGGTCAGGCGAACTGGAATGGTTCTTCTGAAACCCCAAATGGTCCAGAATTGATATTTCATGCTTTGGGAGGGTTGTATAAACACCCCTAGACGTTTCTAAACCAACAAAAATAATCGATTCTGGATTCTCCCAGGGGACGATTCTGTTATTCTCCCCCTGACTCTGTACAACAGTCGTATAAACTCATTTATGAAATTTCTCATCACGAAAATATAATGGTACATGTTACATGTACGGACATTGATTTGCTTGCTCGCGTTGAACAAAAAGTGTAGTTGTTTGACCTGTTAGCAACAACTTCGTAGTTTATTTACAAACAATGACTAAAGTGTTACTGTCATATTTCTTGCTTCAGCCCGCGTGTGTCAACAGCTTGAGACGAGGAGTGACGCTCTGCATCATTACCAGCGGTATGCAGAAATACGGACAAGCAAGTTCGGTGAAAAACACGAGTCATTGGCCATCCCTTACAACAACATGGCCAACACGCACTCTGCAATGGGCAATCACAAAGAGGCTCTCCATCTGCACACGCTGAGTCTTGACATCAGACTAGAGACGCTGGGGGAGCGGCATCCGGATGTGGCCACCTCTTACAACAACATGGCCAAAACGCACTATTCAATGGGCAATCACAAAGAGGCTCTCCGTCTGTTCACGCTGAGTCTTGACATCAGACTAGAGACGCTGGGGGAGCGGCATCCGAATGTGGCCACCTCTTACAACAACATGGGCAGCACGCACTATGATATGGGCAATCACAAAGAGGCTCTCCGTCTGTTCACGCTGAGTCTTGACATCAGACTAGAGACGCTGGGGGAGCGGCATCCGGATGTGGCCGCCTCTTACAACAACATGGCAAACACACACGATGATATGGGCAATCACAAAGAGGCTCTCCGTCTGTACACGCTGAGTCTTGACATCAAACTAGAGACGCTGGGGGAGCGGCATCCGGGTGTGGCCACCTCTTACAACAACATGGCCACTACGCACTCTGCAATGGGCAATCACAAAGAGGCTCTCCGTCTGTACACGCTGAGTCTTGACATTCAACTAGAGACACTGGGGCAGCGGCATCCGGATGTGGCCGCCTCTTACAACAACATGGCAAACACGCACTATGATATGGGCAATCACAAAGAGGCTCTCCATCTGCACACGCTGAGTCTTGACATCAGACTAGAGACGCTGGGGGAGCGGCATCCGAATGTGGCCGACTCTTACAACAACATGGCCGTTACACACGATGATATGGGCAATCACAAAGAGGCTCTCCGTCTGTACACGCTGAGTCTTGACATCAAACTAGAGACGCTGGGGGAGCGGCATCCGGGTGTGGCCACCTCTTACAACAACATGGGCCTCACGCACAAAGCAATGGGCAATCACAAAGAGGCTCTCCGTCTGTACACGCTGAGTCTTGACATTCAACTAGAGACACTGGGGCAGCGGCATCCGGATGTGGCCGCCTCTTACAACAACATGGCAAACACGCACTATGAAATGGGCAATCACAAAGAAGCTCTCAGTCTGCATACGCTGAGTCTTGACATTAAACTAGAGACACTGGGGCAGCGGCATCCGGATGTGGCCACCTCTTACAACAACATGGCCACTACGCACTCTGCAATGGGCAATCACAAAGAGGCTCTCCGTCTGGAAACGCTGAGTCTTGACATTAAACTAGAGACGCTGGGGGAGCGGCATCCGGATGTGGCCACCTCTTACAACAACATGGGCCTCACGCACAAAGCAATGGGCAATCACAAAGAGGCTCTCCGTCTGTACACGCTGAGTCTTGACATTCAACTAGAGACACTGGGGCAGCGGCATCCGGATGTGGCCGCCTCTTACAACAACATGGCAAACACGCACTATGATATGGGCAATCACAAAGAGGCTCTCCATCTGCACACGCTGAGTCTTGACATCAGACTAGAGACGCTGGGGGAGCGGCATCCGGATGTGGCCACCTCTTACAACAACATGGCCACTACGCACTCTGCAATGGGCAATCACAAAGAGGCTCTCCGTCTGGAATCGCTGAGTCTTGACATTAAACTAGAGACGCTGGGGGAGCGGCATCCGGATGTGGCCACCTCTTACAACAACATGGGCCTCACGCACAAAGCAATGGGCAATCACAAAGAGGCTCTCCGTCTGTACACGCTGAGTCTTGACATTCAACTAGAGACACTGGGGCAGCGGCATCCGGATGTGGCCGCCTCTTACAACAACATGGCAAACACGCACTATGATATGGGCAATCACAAAGAGGCTCTCCATCTGCACACGCTGAGTCTTGACATCAGACTAGAGACGCTGGGGGAGCGGCATCCGGATGTGGCCACCTCTTACAACAACATGGCCACTACGCACTCTGCAATGGGCAATCACAAAGAGGCTCTCCGTCTGTACACGCTGAGTCTTGACATCAAACTAGAGACGCTGGGGGAGCGGCATCCGGGTGTGGCCACCTCTTACAACAACATGGGCCTCACGCACAAAGCAATGGGCAATCACAAAGAGGCTCTCCGTCTGTACACGCTGAGTCTTGACATTCAACTAGAGACACTGGGGCAGCGGCATCCGGATGTGGCCGCCTCTTACAACAACATGGCAAACACGCACTATGAAATGGGCAATCACAAAGAAGCTCTCAGTCTGCATACGCTGAGTCTTGACATTAAACTAGAGACGCTGGGGGAGCGGCATCCGAATGTGGCCACCTCTTACAACAACATGGGTGTGCTTTATAAAAACACCGGCGAGTTGCATTTAGCCCTGGATTGTCTCACTAAAGCAATGACCATACGAACAGGCACACTGCCCGACAATAATCCATATCTGAAAAGTACACGTGCTGAGATGGAGATTGTCAAGAATCGCTTGCAGACACAACAAACACATGTGCTTCCATCTTCTCCGACGGGAAATGGTAACTTTTATTTCAACGATTAACGCCATATTTGTTCTCTCTAATCGTGAATGTTCAACTTTTGTTTATTCTATTATAATTGTTTTATATAACTTCAGGGTTGTTTTATAAATCAGTTATTTTCATTTTCGACTGTTTTATATGTTTTTTTCGGAAAGAACAAGTTTTTTTCAAAAATTACTTATATCAACGAGTAAAAAGTAGTTTATCGATTTTGCCGGGTGTTATATGTAGTATTGCGAAATACTACACACACAAAAGACCATTGTCTTAATTGTTTATTTAACGACCCAATTCTAAATTGGAGCGTGCCATTTAAATTAAAGCCTCTTTTCACTAAATCAGATATTGACTGATTTACTCTTATTAGGACTATAAAATCTTGTTTTGAAAATCCACTCCTTTTTAAATACTTGTCCAATTTTTCTCATTTTTTCATGCTCAATATTTTAAAAGGGCGGCGATTATTAATAAGTCCCTTTTAACTTAACTTGAAACAAACTGGATAAATATTTAGCAGTCTTGCCGGCTGCACTAAAATTCTCCTTGCTTTGATTTAGCATAGATGCACCTGCAATATGATGCATCAGAGAAAGTAATATGAATTTTTAATCAGACAAACTGAAGGCTGCGGTTTTCTTCAAAGAGGACTAATAAGTTGAAGATATTTGATTTGAAATAATCAAATAAAAACTAGTTGAAAATTCCCTTATAAGAAAGGGAGAACAAAGGAGCAGGTGAAACCTGAATAATTAAAGATTGAATCAGCCGCCGGTTTATGCTTACGAGCAAAAGGACTGGCCTGAAATCTTCAGTGTTTCATTTTGCTCAGTAAGCAGCTAGTCAGTTTTTCTCCAGCCAGATCTTTTAAAAATAAATAATTTTTCTTTTCTGCCATAACACTGAAATTAATCTAGCCCTTTTCACTTATAAAAAGAGAATAAATTCTCATTTTAACTTTTGAAAAATTATAAATCGAGACACTCGAAATCGCACAACCGAGGAAGTCTGGACTACAACTACCCCAAGTACGACGGCAAGACGATTCAGACGACCCAACCAGAAGCGCTGACTTGGACAAAATCAAGGGCAACAATACATTCTACTCAGCCACCGACCTTAGTAAGAAGATAAAATATTGATGAACAAAATAAGATTAGCTCAACCTCCCCTCATAGGTATATTTCTTTAAGCTGTTCGATTCATTTATATAATCTAATAACCCAGTGCTTTGTATTTAACCAACTAATTAATTCATACCTTTTCTAACTATTTTTTCTACTCTACTTTTTGTCAAGACAATTTGACGATCTAAGGTGAGACTTATAATTTAGGATAAAATTACTAAGCATTTAACCAGCAATAAACGCTTAGTAAAACTGGTGCGACTGCAGCAGAGAACTACTCCTTAAGAAATTCTTTTTCCAGCAAACTCGAAACAGCTTTTAAAATTCAAAAAAATATTTTATATTAGGATCTGTGAGTATTTGTCAGATTAGTTTCCAACCTCAAAAAGCCAGACACAATGGGTATCTATCGATAGAAACACAATTTATTGTCTTCTACTTGACAGATATTTCTAGTAGGGTTCTTGCGAAAGGCATCCCCCTGCGCTAGCAGTCGCCCACGATATTCCTCCACCTCGAGGTCTATTAGACGGCTTTCTAACTGACATTAGCTCATGAACTTAACTATTATCTATTATTATAATAATATATAAAATTTCTGAAAGAATCGTTCTCTGCCTAAGTCCACTAGTAAGATATACCCGTTTTGTCCAGTAATCCACTAATTACATACCAAAACTTCAGTTTAAAGTTATCATCACTAAAATTAACGAAATTCTATATTAAACTAAAGTGCTCAAAAACTTATTAAATATCTTCATTATTTTTTTCGAGGGGGTTAAGTGGTCATATGTGCGATCTAAGAGTACCCTAAATTGTATGATAAATTGAATTCTTCATCACATTATCCCAAACCACGCTTGTTGCTATTTATTCTAATCCTTCGTCAATTCTCGAGGCTTATCCTCAACTTTTCTTAAACTCATTTTAATTCTATCCACCTTAACGTAACTTAAACCTAAATCATCCATCAGTAAAAGCTACCAATTACTGAAACTAAGGAAGAAAATAACGAAAACCCAAAAGGAAGGAACGGATTTGAGTGTTTTTTTTATAAATCATTGGTTTTTTATGACACAGTTTAAGTATACACCTAATAAACAATAAGAATACGCACTAAAACCAATCTTAAACGTTAACCACACAACACCAATCACCAAGTTTTAGTTTCAGCACAAAAATATCAGGTTTCACAACAAAAACTAAGTCTAAACACTGACACATCGACTTTATATTGATAAACTAGGTTTCATATGATAGCATAAGCACTAAAAAATTGATTTTTACCAGCCAAAATTTTTGGTTTCAGTCTAGGTTTCAGTTATAGGGTCAAACGTTTCAGTTAAAATAAGTACAGTTTCCGGTCAGAATTTTTAGTTTCTGTAAACGGATTCGGGTAAAACAGCAAAAGTTGAACTAGTCAAACCCAAATTTGTATACCATAAGTCAAAAACCTGGTCTTAAATGGTACGTTTTTGTTAGTTTCAGGTTTCAGAACACAAAAAATGAGTTTTTGGTCTCAAAATTGAGCTCCGAACGCCGAATTTTGACTTTCTAGAAAAAACTAACGGTGTTAAAACCCACCAAACCAATTTTAGAATTTAGTTCCTAAGGCTGAAACGTACGTTTCAGAATTGGTGTTTTTGGTTTCAGACCCAAAAATTTTGCTTCCCATATGAAATTTTTGTGAAATATTGAAAGATAATAGGAATTCTTAATGCACTAACAAATTTTTAAACTCAAAAAACTTCTAGAAGGTGTTAGTTTGAGCCCTCAAACTTATAGTTTCAGGAAACTAAAATCGTCGTTTTAGGCTAAAATTTTCATCTTTTTGGCAATTTTATTGCTGGAATAGAAAAATATTAGAGAGACCAACCTAAATTTCCAATCTCAAAACTCTAAAACCAAGTGGTCAAACCATAGTTTCAGTTCTAGAAATCATAGTTTCAGCCCCAAAAACTTAGGTTTCCGCAAACAAATTTTTGATTTTGAAGTTACAAACCTGTTCAAAATTCTAAATTACACTAGACCAGCTATCAAAAACCAACTTTTTATTTTCATGCACCGAGTTTGAGAGAGTTTAAGAGTTTCAGGTTTGAGTTTTCAAAAACTAAGTTTAAGATATCAAAAGATTCGGTTTTCTCGAATTTTTTTGCAAGATAAAGCAAAAACCAGATATAACAAAGCGTATACAAAATTTTAAGATTAAAAAACTCAACTTCAGCTACCATAGTTTCAGGTTTCAGATTATCGTTTCAGTCAAAAAATTTTCTAAAATTTTTACCAAAAAAATTAAGTTTTGAATCAATAATAACCATTAAAGGCATATAATAACCATTAAACCCAGCAAACTTCATTCAAGGCACCATAGCATCAATAAAACTTCACTTGAACAAAGTTTCAGGTTTCAGTTAAGGTTTCAGTGAATAAAAAACTTGGAAAACTTAGAAAAAATTTTAGAAAAAATTTTTTTTATTCCCTTATCTTATTATTAATAACCTTTGTTAATATTCAATAATTCCTAAGAGGTTTTCATTACTCTAAGACATACTAACCAAATAGTACAACTTGGCTTAAGAAAAAGAAAACAAACATCGAGAAATTAATGTCAACACATTTTAAAATTGACGTCAGTACAATAAATTTAAAACTCAAATTAGGAAATAAAGTCTCTAACATCATATGGTATATCACTAACACTGAAAAAAATCATATTAGTATACTAGCAAAACAACCTAACGAAGATAAACACGAATTATACGTCTTCTTTCGACGATATACTCCAGAAATTGACACAATTCTTCAGCAAATAAAAATACCTAATAACATAATTTGTATACCGGAAGAGCGATTAATTGCTTCACTCCCGATTGCTTTTTGATGTCCTAAAATACCCAAGCACAAAACTACTTGCATTTTAATCAATTTTTTTTAAAAACACAAAATTTTCCTTAACAAAAATTAAAAATAATAACAAGTTCATAAGAAAAATTTAAATATTTTTTATATTGTTTATCATTCCCTACATAAATATTTATGTCCCTAAAAGGATGTAAAATTCTATGACCAACTTTTATCAAGTAAATACAACAGCATTTAATTTAAAACTGAAATTAAAAAATAAATCCACAAAAATTATTTGGTATATCACCAATATCCAAAAGATCAAATCACAATTTTATCCAAACACCCACACAAAAATATTCACGAATTAACCATTCTTTCCAGCAGCTATACCCCAGAGATAACTTATATCTTAAAAAAGCTAAATCAGCCCCATAGCACTATTGATCTATCTAACAAAAATTCGTATTCATTGAACCCAGCAAACTTCATTGTAACTTAAATACAATTATTTCAGTCCAAACAATTGATCAGTACACAACACATCCAAACCCTTTATATAATGTTAACAAAGCATTGAGTAAATTAAACAAAGATGGCAAACGTAGTAGCATACCCAGATTTAGCTCTCGAAAAGTTTACCGGCTTAGATCCGAATGAAGATGCAAGAGATTTTCTTGATATAGTAGAGAAAAAGATAGCATTTTCCCTAGGCACTAGACCAGGAGACGCGGGTGACGAACAAGACGCATATGATAACAGACAAAGAGCCTTATTTGGTTCAATATTAAGAGGTCCAGCCGCTCAATGGTATCAGGGACTAGCAGCAAACTTACCTTGGATTGATATAAGAGATCAATTCATAGATAGGTTCACTGATGATAAGGATAAGTATAGGAGACGAATGAGCAGAAAACATAAAAAGACAACCTGATGAATTCATTAAAAGCTACATACATAGATTAAGCACCGCAGTAGACCGTGGATGGCCTAATCCAACTTTTAATGATGATCAAAGAACAGCAAAGA